ATACGACCTGAATCCTGAACCTTGTTCCAATTATACATACGCTATTTCAGAAGGCCACTTCCATTTGCTACTATTAAGGGTTTCGGGTTGGGCGTTGCGGGTTTTCTATGCGGCGGGGAATGCTATGGTATTGCGTATGCTATTCTATGGAGTTCTACATAGAGATTTTGGCATAGGTTGTTATGGTTTTGGGCCTTTAGGTGGCCCCAAGGGGATGTGCATGGTTAGGAAAATAGACATGGTAGTTGCTAACTAAACGTAGACACCCAAATAGTAGGAGCCCTTTTTGGTTTTGTAAAGGGCCTTAGAAGGGTACCGAAACCTGAAAAAAGGGTGAAGCAGGGCCGACTCTGAGTCCACGAACAGCACCAGTACTAATTATCTCCTCGTAGCGCATCTCCAGGTGCCCGGAAATCCTATTTAGTGTGGCTCTCGGGTGCAAGAACTCCATAATAGTACTACAAAACCCTAAACCCTAAACCCTAAACCCGAAACCCTAAACCCGAAACCCTAAACCCTAAAAGCCTAATCCAAGTCAACTGGAGCTTCACAAGCTTTGCCTACTAGACCCAAGAGGCAGGGTGCCCGTTTTGGTTCTTAGGGGCTTATAAGGGAGCCTAACTCCCAAACAAAAAAAGGAGGAATCAGGACCTATCCTGGGTCCTGGCCCTAAACCCTGAACCCTAAACCCGAAACCCGAAACCCGAAACCCTAAACCCTAATACCCTAAATAGCCCCAAAATAAGGGCCTACCTGGTCCCCAGTCTAGAGCACAACTCTTCATGACGTATAACTACGCAGAAGTTCCCTGAGTGTAGAAATCGCTCTCGTGTCGCCTTCGATAAAAGTACTACAAAACCCTAAACCCTAAACCCGAAACCCTAAACCCTAAACCCTAAACCCTAAACCCTAAAACCCAAGTCAACTGGAGCTTCACAAGCTTTGACTTCGATACTTCGGTACGCGGTCTACTTAACCCCACTAGGTTGCCCAGTAACCTAGGATTAAAAAGGGTGCCCGTTTTTGCTTAGAGGCGGTTTATATGGGAACCTAGAGCCCCCAAAAAGGGAATAAGGGCACTACTGGGCATCCTAGCCTAAGGGTCCAGGTGTCTATCTATTTGTGCTTGGGCCCTCAAGTCCTTAAATAGGAGGTACTCTAAGGCCCAAGTAGTTCCTATTCAGGTACATGGACACTTGGGGTAGATCGTCCCGAATGCAAGCCTCAGTCCCTGACGGTGCATCATCATCTTCAACTTCATGGGGATGTGAATCTGGAAGGTTGGGTTCGTGCCTGGGCTAGGATGGGCCTTTCCAGGGAAGACACCCGAAACCCTAAACCTTAAACCTTAAGCCCTCAACAAAAACCCAAAACCGTGAATACCCCGGCCCTCCCCAATCTAAAAGAGGTTTGTAGGGTTCTGGTGTGCATTACTAATGTACTTTGGGGCGAGCAAGAGAGTGGATATCCCTATTCTCGCCCCTGTACCTACTATTTGCTTAAGAAGCCCCCAAAAAATGAATTAACAATCCCTATATTACCCTTAATCAGGAAGAATATGTTTATTTCTTGGGGAGGTTCTTAAGCAATTAGTAGGTAGAAACCCCCGGATCGGTCTAGTCTACACATTGTACACACATCGTAGTACCTATATACAAAAAACACGACTTGCAAACTATCGATGTGGGGGTTACTAAGGGGTTAGAAGCCCTAAGCCCTAAACCCTAAACCCTAAAGCCTAAACCCTAAACCCAGGGTTTAGGATTTAGGGTTTAGGGTTTAGGGTTTAGGGTTTAGGGTTTAGGGTGAGCCAGGCTGCTGTGCATCATGGACTGCATCTTCTCTGCCATCGCCGGCATGGCTGGCATGGCCGGCATCGCCATGGGCCCTTCCATACCTGAGACTCTGTCTTCTTGTTCAGGAAGGGTTTAGGGTTTAGGGTTTAGGGTTTAGGGTTTAGGGTTTAGGGTTTAGGGTTTAGGGTTTAGGGTTTAGGGTTTAGGGTTTAGGGTTTAGGGTTTAGGGTTTAGGGTTTAGGGTTTAGGGTTAGGTTTAGGGTTTAGGGTTTAGGGTTTAGGGTTTAGGGTTTAGGGTTTAGGGTTTAGGATTTAGGGTTTAGGGTTTAGGGCTTAGGGTCTAGGGTTTAGGGTTTAGGAATAGGGTTAGGGTTCTTGTTTTTTTTCGAAGGTATCTGAAAAGGGGAACTGATGTCGGAGAAACTCCCCACGCCTGAGCTTTTTGGGAGGGCTCGGGATGGTTCTTGGCTGCACTTAGACGGGTAGCTATAAATTATTGTTTTTTAGCTGCCTTCTTCAGAAAAACAAATAAACCCAAAAAGGCTAAGGGTCTAAAGTTACAGGAAAGAACCACAAAGGGTTGAGGCCCTAGCATTTCAGAGTTTGTCGTTTTTGCCTTTAGGGCAGCATCTACGATTTCTTTAAGATAGCCCCAGAAAATGAACATATTCTTCCTTATACAGGTAATAACGGGAACAGTGTTTTTTTGTCTTTCTTTTTTTGGGGTGGGGGGGGGGGGGGCTCTTAAGCAAATAGTAGGCATGAAACTATGTAGCCTCTGCAAACAGCAAATTTAGAGTCGGTATCGATGGCACCGGTGGCGTGCCCACAACTCCCACAAGCCCTCCGCCCTAAAACGCGAAGAGAGTTTAGGGTTTAGGGTTTAGGGCTTGGGGTTAGGGTTTCGGGTTTCGGGTTTAGGGTTTCGGGTTTAGGGGGGAGACATGGACGGGCTGGTACCGAGAAGGGGAAAGCAGTTCTGAGGGACTCTGCCCCTAAGATTAGGGTTTAGGGTTTAGGGTTAGGGTTTAGGTTTAGGGTTAAGGATTTAGGGTTTAGGGTTTAGGGTTTAGGGTTTAGGGTCTAGGGCCTAGGGCCTAGGGTCCAGGGTCTAGTCTAGGGTCTAGGGTTTAGGGTTTAGGGTTCAGGGTTCAGGGTTCAGGGTTTAGGGTTTAGAGTTTAGGGTTAATATAGTGAGGAGATCCATGTAGGGCTCATTGTACTGCAAGGAGGGCCTCCCCTTAACATACTAACTGTAGTTAAGCGGCTAATAACCTAATCTCATAACCCAATTTAGGGTTCTTATAGCTCTGCTTATTACTAGGGGGGGGGGGGGGGGTCCGTCCCCTCCTTGTAAAGGAACTACCAATATGACTCATCCAAATGATACACATCTGCCTCTCGCAATAATAGTACAGTGAGGAGGAAGGTGTTCTAAGATTCTAAGGGCTATAGCTGCATTAACTCAACTCTCGCTATTTCGAAGAAGATAGTTAGCATAGAGTAACAAACACTGTCTCAGGTTGGCTGTAGAGCAGTAGCATGTGTTCAAAGTCGTAGAACTAGTCGAATTGGAGGAGGGCAGGTAGTTCCATTGGATTTTAACTAACCCCTCGCAAATTGTCAACTTTAATCTTTCGACAACTTCAAACAGGCTAGCCCGAGCGCTGAGGAAGACTAAACTACCTTATCAAAACATTATGAACGTAATCTCATGTCTCCTAAGTACTACCCACAGCAGATTCGGAAACTTGGGTCTGCAAGGAAGCAACCTTAACAAGCCGCAACGAGGGCTTCGGGCCAAAAAGGATTGGGGCAAATACGCCCCCCACCCCCCCCCCCCTCCCCCCTAAACTCTAAACCCTAACCCCCTAAACCTTAAACCCTAAACCCGAAACCTTAAACCCTAAGTCCTAAACCCTAGCTACCCGACAAGTGCGTGCCGGAGCGCGTGGCATGCTCTTGAAGATGTTGGACGGTGACTAGGCGCACGGGGTTCTGCCGGGGTTGAGGGTGATAAACCCTAAACCCTAAACCCTAAACCCTAAACCCTAAACCCTAAACCCTAAACCCTGAACCCTAAACCCTAAACCCTCTACCTTGGGCCCTTAAGGTTGTGCGCTTAAGTCCCTTTTTAGGGATCCCTTAGGGAATATAAGGGCCATAATAGGAGCTTCTTAAGGGAAACCTTTGGGGGTGGTACGAGTCGGAATCCCTTGATACAGGGAGTTACACCACTCGCCAACCCTGAACTCCGAGCGTAATGTTGGATTCGGAGGTTTTAAGTTCAAGTTCGAATGCAGGGTCCGGGGCTTTAGGGCTTGAGGAACACGATGCATATGTGTCGTAAGCAGGAGCTGTGCTTCCCCCCCCCCCCCCCCCCGAAAAGAAACAAAAACGCGCCACACAGGAGTTCGGAACGTACTGCTTCTGCCTCAACCGCAAATCTTAAGGACAATCAGTGCCCAGCTGTGATGCACAAACCCTAAACCCTAAACCCTAAACCAGCAAGTGCAATGGGCGCACGTCTGCACATATCTCAGCTCAATGATTTTGAGTCGAGAGAGTCTTGTCTGAACGATCTTGAGTCTATCGATTGGTTTGGCCTTCTTCGAAACGAAAGATGAACACGACCATGTGGGAACCGCACAGTGACACGCACAACGCCACTTGAAAGATTGGCACCTCCTACCTCCGATTTCCTCCAGCCTCCAGAGATTCATCCATGAATGTTGCGTACTTTGACAAACAAATGGGGATAGGGATTGGATTAGAACAGACACGTCTGAGAGGGTGTCCTTGGACACCTGAATTCAGCAAGGTTGGCCTCGAGTTCCTTCAAGAGACCAATCATAGAACAAGATATCTGTTGGACTGTTGGAAACCTGGGGCCTAAGGGCCTAGTTATACCTTGGCTGCACTCAGGAGGGTAGCTATAAATTAAACTTTTAGCTGCCTTATTAAGAAACCCAATGAACGCAAAAAGGGTAAAGATCCAAAGTTACAGTAAAGAACCACAAAGAAGCAATGGTTGAGAATATCGAATAAGGCAAGTGCGAGGGCGAGCCAATCAGTCGGATGCGATGGCCGCCGCGAATTTCTTCATCTGCTGGTTCAGGGTTTAGGGTTTAGGGTTTAGGGTTTAGGGTTTAGGGTTTAGGGTTTAGGGTTTAGGGTTTAGGGTTTAGGGTCAGATACTTCACTTCAGCCTCCAGCTCGGGCTTTGCGCTTGCGCTGGTCATCCTTCACTACGCCGGCCCGCCATGCGGAGGAAGTGGAGTCGGTCTTCACAAGGATCTCCACTCTTGCCTCGATGACGCCCCGGAAAGTTAGAGGCGAAGGCGACATGACATCTTCAGGCCCCGCCAGCAAGCAAGGCAACGACGAAGGCGGAGCCAAGAAGAAATCCTCAACATTTGATTCTTATTATGATTGTTACTAGCATAATATGTCACTACTAAACCCTAAACCCTACATGTGCTAAAAAAACACAGCAAACCCACAGCAAGGGGAAACAACTAGCAGCAAGCAGCTGATATCTGCAGACTTTCCTAAAGGAGGTGTTCCTTCCAGACTTGAAGTCCGAAACCCTAAACCCTAAACCCTAAACCCTAATCCCTAAACCCTAAACCCTAAACCCTAAACCCGAATCTCAAACCCCAAGCCCTAAACCCTGAAAAGCCTCGACCTTTGGGGTGGCCGAGACGCCTCCCTAAACTCAAAAGCCCAAACCCTGCACCCTAAACAACCCCTTGGGGCTTCGCGTTAGGGTCTAGGGTCTAGGGTCTAGGGTCTAGCGTCTAGGGTTTAGGGTCTAGGGTTTAGGGTCATAGAGCTTAGGGCACGGACCATCGAGCTGAACATGCCCGGGAAGCCGTTGAAGAAGTGGCCTTTTGCAGCAGAGTCTCTTAGTTGCTGAGTTCCCTAAACCCTAAACCCTAAACCCTGAACCCTGAACCCTAAACCCTAAACCCTAGACCCTAAACCCCAAAAAAGTGTACACTTTCAGTTCTGTAGGGGTTCTAGTATCCCCAAAACGTGTAAAGTGTGCTCACACAGCTACTAGAGGCTTCTCCATGGGATGTCAGGAGAGGCCCCGTGCAGAAGGACCCATGACAGGGTTTAGGGTTTAGGGTTCAGGGTTCAGGGTTCAGGGTTCAGGGTTCAGGGTTTAGAGTTCAGGATTCAGGGTGCAGGGTTCAGGGTTTAGGGTTCAGGGTTTAAAGTTCAGGATTCAGGGTTCAGGGTTTAGGGTCTAGGGTTGTTTTCTCAAACCTTGAGGCCCTGGGTCTGGCGACCACCCCACCTACCCTGAACCCTAAACCCTAAAGTATGAACCCTTAATGTTGCACCCACTTAGTATCGTTTTTGGTTATGGTTTAGGGTATAGGTGAAGCGAAGTTCCGGACAAAGTCTTGAGGATTACCCTATTGACAAGGGCTACCCGCAATTCTGCGAAGTTCTTCGCTCGGGATTTGGGGAAAAACTAAACCCTAAACCCTAAACCCTAAAACCCTAAAACCCTAAACCCTAAACCCTAAACCCAAAACCCAAAACCCTAAACCCTAAACCACCCCACCGAGACCGCGGCTCACGGACTTGGAGCAATCACCATCCTTGCAGTCGACTTCCGTCATCCTGCCGTGCTCGCATGCCACAACCCTGAATAGGGTTTAGGGTTTAGGGTTTAGGGTTTAGGGTTTAGGGTTTAGGGTTTAGGGTTTAGGGTTTAGGGTTTAGGGTTTAGGGTTTAGGGTTTAGGCCTACTAGACCCAAGAGTAACCAGCGAATAAAAAAGGGTGCCCTTGTTGGTTTATGAAAGGGGCTTCTGAGGGAACCTAAACCCCAATAAAGGGAATGAGGGCCTACTCTGGGTCCAAGAATCCTTAGGCTTTTCTTCTATACCAAGGTGCTCGAGTCTCGGGCGGCCATATTCGGGTCTAGGGTTTAGGGTTTTGGTATTTAGGGTTTAGGGTTTAGGTTCAGGGCAACCATGTAACCCAGAATCAGTTTTAGTATCCTTTTCAACCACCCTTCACGCTCCCGGTGCTTTACCACAGGAGGCATGTGCCCATAGGATACTTCGACCAAACAGGGACTTTTTAGAGAGCTAGACTGCGGCCCAGGTATCCTAAACCCCACACCCACTGGAATGTCCAGAAATTAATCCCTAGGCACCCCCTCGAACCACATGAAGCTCCTAAATCCTAAACCCTAAACCCTAAACCCGAAACCCAAAACTCTGGAAACCTTGAGCCCATCAGATCCTAACCCCCGAACAGCGCTCAAGCACCCTCAGCCCGGAAGCCAAAAGGTTTAGGGTTTAGGGTTAAGGGTTAAGGGTTTAGGGTTTAGGGTTTAGGGTTATAGGGTTTAGGGTTTAGGGTTTAGGGTTTAGGGTTTAGGGTTTCCCCAAACTACTATTTGCTTGAGAACCCCATAAAGATCAAAGATACTAATCCCGAAATTGCCCTTATAAGGAAGAACATTTTCATTTTTATTTCATTTTTACTAGGGGGTTCTTAAGCAATCAGGAGCAAACGCTGAAAGCAAACCCCCACCCCACCATTGAGCTGGGCTAGGTTGTCGGCTTTGGAGAGGGGAGGAGGGGCTGTAGGGTTTAGGGTTTAGGGTTTAGGGCTAATTCAGTATCTTGGGTAGAGGGCGGAGGAGGAATTTGTTCGGACTCGGATCCTTGCGTGTTTCTTTGGATGCTTCCGGGTGGAGGATGCTCTTCTGAGGGAGGCGGTCTAGGGTTTAGGGTTTAGGGTTTAGAGGTAGGGTTTAAGGTTTAGGGTTTAGGGTTTAAGGTTTAGGGTTTAGGTTTAGGGTTTACGGTTCAGGGTCTAGGGTTTAGGCTGGGGTCCTCTTCTGGAGACCATCGCTGGAGGTCTCCGTGAAGACCTCAGGTTCGTGAAGCCTAGCAATCCTCTACCCACCATTCATGGGTTTAGGGTTTAGGGTTTAGGGTTTAGGGTTTAGGCTTTAGGCTTTAGGCTTTAGGGTTTTGGCTTTAGGCTTTAGGCTTTAGGGTTTAGGGATGTTCCCCCTTATATTGGCAGTCCTTGATGGGGATTAAGCCTTGAACGGCTGTAGTGCTACCTGGACCCCCATCTGTGGTTCCTTGTCGGGGTACTGTACCCCCCGAGACACCCCAAAAACCCTCACAACCCTCACAGCCACAAGAACCCCTAAACAAGAATATCCAGAACAAATCTACAACCCTTAACGAGCCCTAACCCCAAACCCCTACAAACCCTTGAAACACAAAGCAAACACCAACAAACACACACTAAAATAGCCCGTAAGAAAACCATTAAAAGAAAACACGAAAAACAAAAGCCATAAACAAAAAAGCATTTCAAAAAACAAGCAACAAGACAAACATCACGGAAGATCCTACGACTTTAAAGCCCTTAAACATCATTCAAAGGAAACTCGGAAAAATAATGATAATTATAAATATAAAAAAACAAACAAAAACATTTAACAAACAAAAAAACAGACGATCCTGAGGCGTCGCTCCTTGTGGGTCTCGGTGTGCATCTGCCCATCGCTGCCCATGGCCTCAGCGCTCCGGGCTTCCGACTCCTAAACCCGGGCTTCGGGTTTAGGGTTTAGGGCAAGGGTTTAGGGTTTAGGGTTCAGGGCTTAGGGCTTGGGGTTTAGGGTTTAGGGTTCAGGGCTTAGGGCTTAGGGCTTAGGGTTTAGGGCTTAGGGCTTAGGGCTTAGGGTTTAGGGTTTAGGGTTTAGGGTTTAGGGTGCAGGGCTTAGCGTTAAGGGTTGAGGGTTTAAGGGTTAAGGGTTTAGGGTTTTTTACAGGGTTTTGGGGTTTTAGGGGTTTAGGGTTGGGGTTTTAGGGGTTTAGGATTTAGGGGCTGGGGGCTTAGGGTTTAGGATCTGGGGGTTTAGGGATTGGGGTTTAGGGGTTCAGGTTTTGTTTTTTATGTTTGCCATGCGCAGCCAGCGGTCCTGGGGTGTTGGTTCGTCCTGCATGCCCTAATACCCCAGGACTTGCTTCTGCTTTTCCTTGGCACCTACTTCTCATAAACCCTAAACCCTAAACCCTAAACCCTAAACCCTAAACCCTAAACCCTAAACCCAACTTTATGGTTTAGTCCTTAGGCTTTATTTGTGAATTCGGTACAGGGATGTGGGGCGACGGCTTAGCGCCAGAAAAACAACCCAACTCGGGACCCTCCCACCCGCTGAGGGCAGGTCCAGGAGGAAAGTTCCCATCCGCAAGCTTCTCTATAAGGGGGGAGGGTTTAGGGTTTAGGGTTTAGGGTTTAGGGTTTAGGGTTTAGGGTTTAGGGTTTATGGTTTAGGGTTTAGGATTTAGGGTTTAGGGTTTAGGAGCAAGCTACATAAGGGTACCAAGGGCCATGCAAGGGCTAGATGCGACGGGTATGCATGCAGACAACTTCCCACGGAAAACTGCCCTAACCCTAAACCCTAAACCCTGAACGCCTAAACCCTAAACCCTAAACCCTAAACCCTAAACCCTAAACCCAGACTACACTTCAGTCTAACCCCTAGCCCTAGACCCATAAACTCGAAGCCCAAGGTGCCGAAAACTTGCTGACGGTCACGTGCGCGGGCTGCTCCCTGGCCACACGCGACCAGGAAAACTCTTAGATATAGAAGTGCACACGTTGTTTTTGCGCCTACATACGTAAATGCGCACTTGTTCACAACCAGCCGCCGACCGCCGATGCCCAAGACAATGAAGCAGTGAAGCGGCAGGAAAAGTGCGGGCTAGGATCCCTAAACCCTGCAAAGGTTTAGGGCGTAGGGTTTATAGTTGAGGTTTAGGGTTCAGGGTTTAGGGTTAGGGGTTGAGGTTTTGGGTTGAGGAGTTTAAGGCTTCAAAGGTCAAAACGTACACAAAGTCCCAGTGTTGTAAGAGCAGAGAGCACCAGCGACACCTAAACCCTAAACCCTAAACCCTAAGCCCTAAGCCCTAAGCCCTAAACTCTAAACCCTAAACCCTAAACCCTAAACCCTCAACCCTACCCCTGATCGGTCCGCCGAAAGATGTTCGCCGCCTCGCCTCAGCACCAGAACAGCCCGCAGAACCTTGGGTTTCCTGCTTAGGGTTTAGGGTTTAGGGCCGGCAGTCGGGCCCTAAACCCTACACCCTAAACCCTGCCTCCAAATCCTTTGGCTGCATCGGCTGCGGAATCTCTCCATGCAAGCGCTTCTGTCGAGATTGAGAGGGTGAGAACAGAAACAACCCGAATCCCCCCTGATCCCTGAACCTTGAACCCTTTTTCAACCCCATGTAAACCCTATACAAATCCTATATAAATCCCATATAAATCCTATATAAAACCCTAAATATACCCTACTATATAAACCCTAAGCCCTACAATTTATAAACTTAAACACAAAGCGTGAACCCGTGAATCCTCAGTATCAAGCCCCACACTCCCCCAGAACTCAAAACAAACCCCGAGAATCCCTAAACCCTCCCAACGAGGCCCAAACAACCGCCCTAAACCTTGGCTGCACTTAGGACGGTGATTTTAATAAGTTTAGAATTTTAGCTGCCTTGTCAAGAAACCCAAGAAACCCAAAAAGGCCAAGGATCTAGAGTTACAGTAAGGCACCACGAAGAAACGCTCAACCCTAAACCCTAACCCCTACTGGCCTTACGTGGGCTTGGTGTTGGGCAGTTGGTACTGATACAAGAGGACCCCGGAATGACATCTAAACCCTATACCCTAAACCCTAAACCCTAAACCCTAAACCCTAAACCCTAAGCCCTAAGCCCTAAGCCCTAAGTCCCGAAGCCGTCAACCCTAAACCCTACACCCTGGAAGTTGGTAGCGAACCCCAAAAGGAACTGCACTTGAGCCGTCACGGGAACTATAGACCTTAAAACCCGACACTACATCCTATAGAGCCGTAACAAAGCGGTCATATGGGCATTTCCCAAGGGGTACCGGGATTTAGGACTTAGGATTTAGGGGTTTGAGGGTTTAGGATTTGAGGTTCAGGCACCCCTACTTCCAGGAAACCGATGATCATAAATTCGTAGAGCCCGCAAGGGGGTGTAAAGTCTGTAAACAATACCTACTACTTTGGGCTATTTGGAGCCTGAGGGTAAGCCTTTAAAAAAGATGGCCCTTAAAGCCCTCTGAAAAATATTCCTAGTTATGATCCTCTTAAACCCAACAAGGGAAAAACAAAACGTCCCAAAGCCGTACCGAGTTAAAGAAATCAAACGCGATGGCTATGGACTCCCACACATCTGCGCCTCTGCGCAATCTCACCACCCCGCTGAGGGAACATGAACCTTTGGTTGGGTTTGGCGTTTAGGTTTTAGGGTTTAGGGTTGAGGGTTTGGGGTTTGAGGGTTTGGTAAGAGTTGGAGGGTTTGGGGCTTGCTTATCGTAGGTTCCCGCCACCTATGAATCATGCAATCAAGAGCATGCCTGTTATGGGGCACATGAGGTAAGCCTGGCACTCAAAAAAAGGAGCACGGGTATCTCTGGCTCACCTAAACCCTAAACCGTAAACCCTAAACCCTAAACCCTAAACCCTAAACCGTCCCTAACTCACAAATCCTGCAAGTGAACTCCTTGATCTCCCACAACGCCCACCTTAAACACCTGCACTCTAAACTCCCATGCCCTGACTAAACCCTAGACCCTAAACCCTAAACCCTAAAGTCTTTGCTGAGGGCTCGCTACCAACACTTGAGAGCCCGAAGCCGTCCGAGCTTCGCGAGCGACCTGAGAGCACCGAACGTGCAGCCCAGGTAAAGCTGGGGCTGCTGGACGCTCCAAAGCAAGGTAAGGCCCACGGGCCGTCAAGGCGGTCGAGCCTTTGAGTGTCAAAGGTAAAGACCCTAAACCCAAGACCTTTTGCTGGTGCAACCTGGCCCCCCCCAAGGACCGTTGCTGGTGCAACCTGGCCCCCCCCAAGAACCGTTGCTCGTGCAACCCGGTCCCCCTCCAAGGACTTGCTGGTGCAACCCGGGCCCCCCTCAAGGACTGTTGCCGGGCTCAGACCGCCCTGAGCCTTTGCGGGCTTCTTCAAGCCACTTATTAGCTTGCTTCTCCAAGGCCGCTTTTGAGGTTTTTTTGTCTTCTCCTAGACCATTTTTGAACCTTTTTCGGCTTCTCCCAGACCATTTCTGAGCTTTTTCGATCCAGACCATTTCTGAGCCTTTTTGGGCTGGTCCTAGACCATGTCTGAGCTTTTTTGGGTTCCTGCCGGACCATTTCTGAGCTGTTTGGGCTTCTCCCAGACCATTTCTGAGCTTTTTTGGGTCCTCCCGGACCATTTCTGAGCGAAACCATTTCTGAGCCTCTTTGGGCTTGCTATGCTTCTCCCAGACCATTTGAAAGGGAAAACTTGCGGCCCTGGACGCTTCCAGGAGCTTCGAAAGCTTCGCTTGAGGAGCTTTGGCAGCCAAAAGCTTCGAAAGCCCAAATTCTGATGAAGGGCCACCCCCACGACCTTTTCACAGCCTAGCCTTGGTCAAGCGAGAGTCGTATCGGGACGCTGGCCCGGTCGAGGGGCAGCGCTACCCTTTCGGTAACCCAAACTACTTTGTGTCGGTGGTTTCCGTGCCGGCAAACGACAAGGCACGCCAAACGCCCTCAAAGAAGCACGGGACGCTGGCACGTCGGGACGCTGGCCCGGTCGAGGGGCAGCAGTACCCCTTCGGTAACCCACACATGCATGCCAGACGCCTTCCGTGACGGCAGGTGAGGGATGCCAAACGCTTTCAAACAAGCCTGCCCGATGTTGATGATGAAGGGCTACCCCCCCGACCTTTCACAGCCTAGTTTTGGTCAAGGGAGGGCAAAAACATCAGGGCAGCGTTTTCCACAACTTCACCTCTTGCCCTGCCCCCGCGAGGCTCAGATCGGGACGGTGCCGAAACAGCGTGCGCAGGGGCACAGCATGCCCCCGCTAAACCCTAAAAATAGAAATGCCGGGTGGCTTGGGGTGGGCTTACCGCCACGCGATGTTGCGAGCGACCCGGGCAGAGGGGCCGGTTAGAAAATAAGGTGAGGCCCCGGAGCCAGCGAGCAACCCGGAACGTAACACACCCTAAACCCTAAACCCTAAACCCTAAACCCTAAACCCTAAACCCTAAACCCTAAACCCTAAACCCTAAACCCCTCACTCCTGGGGATTAGGGTTTAGGGTTGAGGCACCCTGCCCCTATACCCCAACCCCCAGCACACCTACGCCCCCTACTAATGTAGGGGTCGGAAGAAGTACTTATATATTCCCTTATGGTCTCTTCAAAAATTGTACTAATTACAAATAACCCCCCCCAAAGGTTGTTGGTTTCTGTGGAGGGTAGGTTCTGCATTTTATCCCAGAACTGCACCCAGCCGATCTGATCGCTTGCAAACTGTAGCCAATCACTGGGTGGTGGGTGCTTGTCCCCATAGGTGACCTGCTTGATCAAATTGGGTTGTTTTAAATGAGAGAACATCCTTTAGGTCTTCACCCCTGAGCATGTCCATGAACAATCTACGGTTTGATCCAGGCTCATCCGCAATGAAGTTGGCGTGGCGACGCCCACGGATTGCACGGCCCGGCCGCCGTTGGGGCAATGCGCTGGGCTGGTGTACGCCAGCCTCAATGCCCTTGCGTGATCATGGGCGATGCAGGCCTCCTCGTCGGAGGACAGAACTTGTACTAGCTCCGCTGGAAGTTGAACAGTAGCTTCCTCGGACTCGGACTCCTCTTGATCCTCACAGAGGTCGGTGGCTTCCTTCGAGGCCTATTCTAATCATTCAGGCCCCGATATTACGCGCCTACTAGCCCTAAAACCTAGACCCTAAACCCTAAAACCTAAAACCTAAACCCTAAACCCTAAACCCTACAACCCCAAACCTGAGCTGAGGCGGGCACACAAGCTGAGCATCGCCAAAGGTGGCGAGCTGCAAAAGAGCCTTCCGCTTGGGGTTTAGGGGTTTAGGGTTTAGGGTTTGGGGTTTGGGGTTTAGGGTTTGGGGTTTAGGGTTTGGGTTTAGGGGTGTAGTGGTTTAGGGCTTAGGGTTTCGGGGCTTGAGGTTTACGGGTTCTGGGTTTAGGCTTTAGGGTCTTAGGGCCTTAGGGTCCTTGAAACACTGCCCCTGCACGTATGTACAGGTATACACCTTTGTTACTAGTAGTGATTGTGCAATGAATACTATGCAAAAAAGAGACAAAAGAATGCAGAAAACAACAATCAGAAACATACAAATTTGAGAGGGTGTCCAAAGCTTGTTTTGGAGGGGCCTTAGATTCTAGGAGGGGTTTAGGGTTTAGGGTTTAGGGTTTAGGGTTTAGGGTTTAGGGTTTAGGGTTTAGGGTTGAGAAAACTAACCCAGGCCTCTGAATCCACAAGCAACTCAAGCCGCTGACAAGCCTCAAAGCCACACCCTCCCCGAACAAGCGGTTTAGGGTTTAGGGTTTAGGGTTTAGGGTTTGGGGTTTAGGGTTTAGGGTTTAGGGTTTAGGGTTTAGGGTTTAGAGTTTAGGGTTTAGGGTTTAGGGTGTAGGGTTTAGGGTTTAGGGTTTAGGGTTTAGGGTTTAGGGTTTAGGGAATTCCCAAACCCGAGGGAACGAAACCCCAACACCTAGGTAGTGGGCCTGGAAACCCTCAACTATACTCCTCTTAGAACCTTACTAAAAATGATGTTTTTTAACATCCTCTTGGGTTTGATATAAACAAAATAAAAAAATGATTCCCAAAGAGGATATAGGGAAACCCTCAACACTTCGCCGCGAAGATCTGGGGCCCGCACAAGCCCGCAGAACTTTGCGTTTGCCATGACTCCTCCTGGGCGTGTAAGAGTGTCGATGCTGAAATTTCTGCTGCTACCCTAAACCCTAAACCCTAAACCCTAAACCCTAAACCCTAAATTCGTTCTTGCAAAACAGCAGGGGCGGAGGGTTGAGGGTAGGGGCTGACACCCAAAACTCTGTGAATCCCCCTTTGTCCTTTGCAAACACGATACCCGTTTCAAAAGAATCGTGTCCTTTTCGAAGTAGTTGTCTAAGGGTTTAGGGTTTAGGGTTTAGGGTTTAGGGTTTAGGGGTCCATGTACCTAAATAGGGACTACTTGGTCCTTAAAGTACCTCCTATTTAGGGACTTTAGGGCCCAAGTACATAGTAATCAGCTACATGGACCCTCAGGGGTTTTCTTGATGGCATGAGTCGCACGGCACTAAGAGCGGGGGGTGGGTGGGTTTAGGGTTTAGGGTTTGCAAGTTCCGAAGATGTCAGCCGTTGGTCAAAGCGATGTTTCTGTGGCCACTTAAGCATCCGGGGGGTGTACCACGTTCTTTGAAGATCCACAAAACCCGCTTGTTGCTGGTACCCCTAAACCCTAAACCCTAAACCCTAAACCTTAAACCCTAAACCCGAAACCCCAAGTTCATTGCGTAACCTTCGTGGCTTCATGGCCTTTACAAGGGAACCTCACGGCAAAAAAAAGGCGTTTGGCCCACTCCGGGTCCTAGAAAAGCTCCGTACACCTTCAACCCTAAAACCTCAACCCTACACCCCAAACCGCAGATCCTAAACCCTAAGCCGCAAGCCCCAGACCCTAGAGAGTTCTCAGACTCTGGGGGTTTGGGGTTTTAGGCCAGGTTGCCCAGCAACTTAGGATTAAAACGGGCGCGCTTTTTGCTTCAAGGGTGTGTGAGGTTCCAAAACCCCCTAAAAAGGGAATCAGGGTGCTACTGGGCATCCTCCTGGGGTTTCGAAGGGTTTAGGGCCTAGGGTTTAGGGTTTAGGGTTTAGGGTTCCCCTTCCTGCCGAGGACATCCAATCCCTTCTCCACATTTTTAACCTCACCCCCGAACCCTAAACCCTAAACCCCAAACCCTAAACCCTAAACCCCAAACCCCAAACCCTAAACCCTAAACCCTATAAACCCTAAACCTACTGAAGCATAGTTGCAGCGCTTTAGAGTTTGGGGTCGGTTTCAGGCTGAGGGCGTTAGCATTCTGAGGCTCGGGGCTTGCAGTTCCCAAAAAGCACAAACACGAACCCCCCCACCCCCCACGAAAGAAAGACGAAAAGCTAAACTCTAAACCCTAAATCCTAAATCCTACACCCTAAACCCTAAACTCCCCCCGCTTCTTGGATTGTATAGGGGGGGGGGGGGGGAGAATTCCCATCTTTACTTGGCCTGCAACAAAGGAGCTTCTTGACAATCCCTCGAAGAGTCCCCCAAGCCCAAGGGCAGACCCTTACTGGTCCAAGAAAGAAAGATTGAAACTAAGGGTTGAGGGTTTAGGGTCTAGGGTGTAGGGTTTAGGGTTTAGGGTTCAGCCCTTTGCAACCAAGCTGCTGACAGGATCGCTTGTTTCGTGTCACTTCACGTCCGCACTCTGGCAATTCGAGCCAAGGGTGATGCTGGGCTCATTTGCACGGCTGGGGTTTGCTCAGGCCACCCGAAAACCCTAAACCATAAACCCTAAACCCGAAACCCCCAAACTAACAGGCCCTAAACCTGAACTGCAATATCAAACCGCGTACCTTAAGGCCTTAGGGTTTGGGGATCAAGGGCAGCACCCGAAGCTCTGGAGTAGGACCCAAAGAACTGTCGCCCTTTCTTACGAAACCCGTAACCCTAACACTTGAGATGTTCCCCCTTATACTAACAGTCCTTAATGGGGATTAGAGTACCCCCTACTATAATCCCTATTAAGGACTGTTTGTATAAGGGGAACATCCCAACCCTCAACCCTTAACCTCCAAGTCCCAAACGTAGTGCTCATCGAAACCGGGGGAAAGCTGCGCTTGGGACACTGATGATGAAGAGGCACCACCCCGTTACCACTTGGGAGTTCTTTAGATACGGGTCCCATTGTATGCAAACAGTATAGCCACTTTTTTCAATGACAGAAAGAGAAAAAAGTCTAGATAACAAAAGCCGAAATGAATCGAACATTGGCTGGAACAAGGGCATCATCATGGCAATCATTTAAGACTTTATTTGACTCTTTATAGCGAAGCCTGAACAGCCCTGAACCCTAAACACTAAACCCCTCTGCGCCCTCAACCCTCAACCCTAAAACCTAAACCCCAAACCTTAAACCCCAAACCCTAAACCCCAAATCCTGAACCCTACACCCTAAACCCTCAGCTAAACCAGTAGTTCGGGTTCGTCACCCAGCGATGGCAAGGGCCGCGTGTCCGGCGACACTACCTGGAAGCCGGGAGACTTCGGGTTTAGGGTTTAGGGTTTAGGGTTTAGGGTTTAGGGTTTAGGGTTTAGGGTTTAGGGTTTAGGGTTTAGGGTTTAGGGTTTAGGGTTTCGGTAGGGTTTAGGGTTTAGGGTTTGGGGTTCAGGGTTTAGGGTTCAGAGTTTAGGGTTTAGGGTTTGGGGCTTGGGTTTAGGGTTTGGGGTTTGGGGTTTAGGGGTCAAGTTCGGAGTTTAGGGTTTAGGGCCATACTCTGAACAGCTACACAAGGCTTAGGGTTTCAGGGTTTAGGGCTTTAGGGTTTCAGGGTTGAGGTTTGGCCACCATAAAGAACGATACGTTCACACAACAGGGCCCAGTTATTTCCAGACTCAACCACCATTGCTCCATGGGCCATACTCTTCAATCCAAGAGTTTCGGGTTTCGGGTTTCGGGTCTCGGGTTTCGGGTTTAGGGTGTAGGGTTGGGGTTTCCAGGCAAATTAACTTCCTGGACCAGCAGGGCGCCCCTGGGAGGTGCGAGAGTTTAGGGTTAGGGCAACCTAAACCCTAAACCTTAAACTGCATCCCAAGGAATGGGCACGAAGACGGCAGACCCAACCAAGGGGCTTGGGACAAGGCTTCTAGGTCTTGCGTTCCTTCCCTAAACCCTAAACCCTAAACCCTAAAGCCTAAACCCTGAACCCTGAACCTGAACCCTAACCCTAAACCCTAAACCCTACACCCTAAACCCTAAACCCTAAACCCTAAACCCCCACAAGGCCCTGCGCTGCCTTCCGCGCGCTCAACCAGCCGAGCGGTCCTCTCGGAGGTCCTCCGTCGCCTGGTGCTTGCTTCTGAGGATAGGGCTTAGTTTAGGGTTTAGGGTTTAGGGTTTAGGGTTTAGGGTTTAAGGTTTAGGGTTCAGGGTTTAGGGTTTAGGGTTTAGGGTTTCGGTTTAGGGTTTAGGGTTTAGGGTTTAGGGTTTAGGGTTTAGGGTTTAGGGTTTAGGGTTTAGGGTTTAGGGTTTAGGGTTTCGGGTTTAGGCTTTAGGGTTTAGGGGTTAGGGTTTGTTTAGGGTTTAGGGTTTAGGGTTTAGGGTTCAGGGTTCAGGGTTTAGGGTTTAGGGTTTAGGGTTTAGCGTTTAGGGTTTAGGGTTCAGGGTTCAGGGTTAGGTTTTACGGTTTGGAGTTTCGAGTCCCTCCAAACCCAAAATCCTAACCATAAACATTAAACCCTATATCCTGAAGCCTAAACCTCAACCTCAAACCCACATGAGATCATATGACCACAGTTTTCGCTCCTCAGAGAAGTTTTAATTGGTAGCCCAGCAAATGAGGGTTTCGGGTTTAGGGTGTCGGGTTTAGGGCATTTAGAATCCTTATATTATGTGGGGCATAAGTTTGGCCCTTCGACACCCTAACTGAACCCTCAACCCTGAACTGGACTCTGTGAACGCTGAACCCGGAACCCAAAGATTGCAGCGTGTGAGCTTTATGAGCCTCAACACCCCAATAGCCCCCGATAGTCCCGGGTTTCGGATTCCGGGGCTTAAGGGTTTAGATCTTCGTGGCTGCAGGGTCTAGGGCTTCGGGACACAGTTCCTGAACCCTAAACCCCAACACCCTAAACCCTAAACCCCAACACCCGAAACTACATCAGAAGGGGTGGGGACGAAGATGGCAGACCCAACCAAGGGACTTAGGGCAAGGCTTGTAGAGCTTCAGTCGAGTTTGCGGTCCTCCCTTCCTTCCCCCTAAACCCTAAACCCTAAACCCTAAACCCTCAACCCTAAACCCTAAACCCTAAGCCCTAAACCCTAAACCCTAAACCCTAAACCCTAAACCCTAACCCTAAACCCTAAACCCTAAATGCTACACTTGAAACCTTGCACCGGCACAGGCTTTCGATCTTTGGCCCCAGGCGGAGTTCCCTCTGTCGCCTGGCCAGAGGAGCACTTCGGCTTAGGGTTTAGGGTTTAGGGTTTAGGGTTCGGGGTTCGGGGTTCGGGGTTCGGGGTTCGGGGTTCGGGGTTCGGGGTTCGGGGTTCGGGGTTCGGGGAGCGGGGGCTTAGATGCCACCATCCCTGAACTCATGAGCACCTCCCCCCCCCCCCCGGCCAGAAACAAGTTCCAAAACACAACTTGTTGCTTAGCATTTGGTTTAAGGGTTTAGGGTTTAGGGTTTAGGACTGCTAGACCAAAGAGTAACTTAAGAACGGTACCATTTGGGGTTCAAAGGGGCTTCTAAGAGAACCTACGGCCTACTCCCGGGCCTAGCCCTAAACCCTAAACCCTAAACCCTAAACCCGAAACCTTAAACCCTAAACCCTAAACCCCTGAATCCTTCAAGGCCTCCGACAGATTCTCCGGCGACAGGGAGCCTCACGGCAGTCAGTGTCTTTAAGCCCGGTTCAGGGGGTTAGGGCTTAGGGTTTAAGGTTTAGGGTTTAGGGTTTAGGGTTTAGGGTTTAGGGTTTAGGGAAGATTTTTTATATATAGCTACCCCTAAGGGTTCATGTACCTTATTATTGTATACTCGGGCTCTGAAGTCCCCAAATTGGAGGTACTTTAAGAAAGCCCAAGTCTTCCCTATTTAGGTACATGAACGCTTTAGGGTAAGGGCAGTTTCAGGAAGGG